GACCATAACAACAACCTTAAGTTTTTCTTCAGTTTAAGAGACTTTTGTCTGTACTCGTATGTTTATTCTGCTAGACGTCTATTCCAAAAGTGCTAGTCTCGCCTGGGCACCAGTTTATCCTTCCTCGCAAGGACGATTAGTAAAGACGTCTAGTATGCGCCGTGGGTTCTAACTCTCCCGTAACAACCTCAGCACTAACAAAGTTTACTGACGAGCAGCGCAAGCGAGGAACAAGTCGAGGACATGAATGTAAGTAGCCAAGCAAGCAAGTGAACAAGCACCTGGGTTCATTTTAGCATGTAGCTGCTGCACTACGCTCTAGTCCATTGGCTCCAGCAGGTCTGTCTACCAGCCAAACGCCTCTTTTGACTCTCACGAGTTCTCAAGTGTGGCTCTTGAACGCATCTAGTGGCCTTTCCAGGAGAAATTGCTGTCGCTTTTCTTCGTCCATCACGCTTGTCTAAAGCATAAGTACATGTTCGCTAACGTGAATGTGCACTCGTCTCATCGACCGTCCCAAAAATTCTGTTCCATATGGCCTTCATACGCTGTGGTCCAAACAAATATAATGATGTCAAAGTATCATCTTTGAGTGTGTGCTAAACGCAATTTTCGTTTTGCGTACGGCCCATCGTTGGTATTACTTAACAACGTGCAGAAGTGGTAGAACAATCGATCGAAAACTGTCGACAAGGCATTTCAGGGTCAGTCTGCTCATCGCTGTTCTCCTCGAGCTTCTTTTCATGCACGCATCGAAAAATAAGGACTCTAAGTCGTCTTCGAGTCCATATTTCCCCGGTTTGGACTAGTCGATACTAAAAAGCATGTTTCTATATAGTTTTTCAATTGATTTGACGTAGACGCTAAAGAGCTGCTTTTGCGGCTTATGTACGATGTTTACGTAAGGCTGAAAGATAGGGCACGGCATAAAAAAGAGCTTCGTCATAGTACAGTCCTCCCCCCATAAGTTATCCCCCCTATGATATAACCTCTGCTAAGTTATATGATTTCGGGTCCACCGACGCCGTTCGATGGCGACTATGCAATACGGAATATGGAATACCCGCCTAGGCCCAATATAACGTATTAGGGGGAACAATTTATTTGTCAAGAGTAGATGAGTATTGTTTGGAGCATCCTGGAGCCTCTTTAAGCCATGATTCCAGTGTGGTTTGGATTGTACTAGCACTACGAAGCTGGGCTCAAATGCGACAAAGAGAGCGGTGGGCGGCGCGGTCTCGATCCTGGGAGAGATCAAGGATGGAAATGGACAAAGCAAGAGCAGCGAGCTTCTCAGCTATGGAATGTGTCACCACCTCCTCCTCAGCTTCTCCTTCCTCCTCCTTAGCATCCTGGACGAGCTTGATGATCTCGGCATCGCTTAACTCCGCATGCACCGTCGGCTCCTCATCAACTGGATTGAGCAGTGACGCAATAGACATCGGATTGCGCAAAGGAAGGCGTTGCAGAGCTGACTCCAGATCCTTCTCCACTTGCTGCTCCTCCTGGTCAACCAGATCTGCATCCTGTTGCACAGGCTGCTGAATGTCCCCTGCTAAAACTACTCCTTCAACTGCTGGTGAAGTCGGCCCATTCATGAGTCCAGTGTGCTTGAAGCAATTCGCAATGGTGGTGATCGAAATCTCGCTCCACGCCATAAGGGACCAACGCATGGCTGTGACTTGATCAACTTTGTAGAGATCGGCCGCTCCCGCATCATCGCGATCCAAATCATTCTGTAGGTGCAGACGCCGGTGGTGGTGCTTGAATGCAGCGATGATATTGGCGTCCATTGGCTGCACCTTGGATGTGGTATTGGGCGGCAGAGCTTAAACGGTGACGTTGGTGAGTACAAGATTCAAAGTTACGTGCGAAGGTACATTGTCCGTAAGCAGAACGTTTTTTTATTCTGGCGCTAGAATCTGGGTAAGTGCTTTGTTTTGCAGCTGATATCTCAGAATGGGCAAATGTTCAATTAATTTCATGTCTGTGTCCAGGTTTCCAAGCCATTCCTGAAAAAGACCCCAGTCATCCAGGCTTTCTTGTTGTATCGATAAAGGAACCCGAGCTCTTCTCCTGACTTCCGTCGGAAACAACAAGGCTTCTTTGCACGGCCGATGAAGAATGGAGGAAGCTTATCTGATCCATCAGCATTTGCCGTCAGAGCCACTGTGATGCGAGTCTGACAAACATGTCAATTATTCCATTGATCCCACGGATTCCAACAAGCCAAATACAACTCACCTTGTCTTTTTTGAAGCCTTCAACTTCCTTCTGGGCAATGGTTTTATCCGGTGTCATGCTGTAAAATTATCCTGGAAATCATATTGGCGTTTATGACACAGAGCATAAAAGACTTCAGGAGAATTTACCAGTTTCGTCCACGTTGTACACATCACGAAGAGCAAACTTGGCGACGACTGCTTGCAACTATGGTAGAGCTGCTTTAAGCCCAGTCGCATCGGCTGAACCGCTCTCGCCATGGATACGGATGGCCCTTAGCTTGTGGCGCTGCTGGAATTTGTAGAGCTACCCATGGACAAACTTGACTGATCCATCCGGAATATCCATGGACGTTGCAAAGCTTGCAGCTTTTGCACGGATCAGGTCTCCGGTGAAGGAAACTTCACGATGCTGGCACTGCAAAATCCAGAAGACCACTGCTTCTTACAAGACAGGATGTTGAGCTGAGCGGGGACGCTTAGCAGAGAGCTCTGGTGGAATCATTGCTTCAAGCTCCTTCCCCTTGCTGATGATCTTGCTGATTGAGGCCTGCGTCATAGGTTTTGGGAGGCCGAATTCCTCCTTCGTCCAGTTTCCAAGCTCTGTCTGGGTGAGGCTCGGATGACCATCCTTATGTTTGATGATCCTCAGCTTCTGGTCGTTGGTGAGACGTAGTTGAGACATCTCTAATGTGTGGGTGGGTAAGTGGGTGGGAGGGTGGGTAGGTGTGGGGTTCTGGGATTTTGAGGGAAGTCGTTGGTTTGGGAGAGGAATAGAAGTGGACAGGAAGCGAGAGGGAAGGTGGTGTGTGGTTGTAGGAATGTAGAGATGTTTGTTCGGTCGGGGGAGAAAAAGGGTGCCCTTTATACCCCGACCCCCGGTGGCCAGCCCGCCAGGCGAGTTGCAAAAGGTTGTGCAATCACGCACAAAATGTAAACAAGGTACAGTACTTTAACTGTGTAGGATGGTACTTTAGCTGTGTTTGGTTCAATGACTCAGTTGAGTGTGATACAATCTATTAATTGTGTTCAATTAAATGTGTAAAGATGGTTTCGATGCACTCACAAAGACAATGCATTGTACGCACAAGGACAACATAATTTCCATAGGCGGTGCCCAGATGCGTCCCCCACCAGAAGGGTAAAGAAAATGTCCTGTGGTCCGCTATTTTGATCAAAAAATGACAATCGTGATACTCATACTTATAGCTCTGCATATATTGTACTGTATTGATAAGTAATAAGACAATAAATGGTCACCTTTTTTATCGTTAATTAATTGATTATTCCCAAATGGAATAACCCCTGATAAGTTATAGGATCTGGCCTCCACCAACGCTATAGCTTATGGGGGGGGAGGACTGTATACTACTAATCCTAAAAAAATATAGAAATTACTTTGAAGCCACATTCTTAAAGGGTTTTTACCGCGCGGTCCTTTAGATCACCCTGGTGTGAACTGCGAGTACTGTGATTCAGTTTAACTCCTTACGTGGCCCGCACACCTCATGCGCTATGGGGCTTTTTGGCCAGTGGGGGCTTTAGCCCACCCAACTATCCCATGCCTTGCGCGGGTTGGCAGGGCGGTCACTTCTGCTTGGTTGCTCGTCTACTATATCGGCCTATCTCCGGCGCCCTGTGATTGAACCCCCACTGGATATTGATCTAGGTACCACCCGGTCCCAGTACCAGCGGTCTACCACTCGCCCACTGGGGTTAGTATTTAGAGCACACATTTCTATTATAATCCAAAATTTATTTGACGGTCCTGCGCAGCTTTATACGGGATTCAGCGGACAAAAAATTATTAAAAAGTCTTAATAATCGAAAATGTGGAATGGAAAAAGGGGAAAGCAGAAGACGAAATAAACAGGTATGGTGGCGACGAATGGCGTTTATGCACATTTAGAGATCATCAGAAACAGCGAAATAGGTGTCATTCGACGAAGAAATGAGGCTGTCTAGAAACTTCACAAAGTGTAGTATTGCGTGGCTATAATTAATGCTTGTGTTGCAATAATTATCACACACTGCACTTTGCTACACTTCTTCGTATCGACACATTTGAGTGTCTAAAACGATAAAAATACGCGTTTACGTGAATATGACTTTCACTCTTAACTTATTTCTTATATTATGTTTCTAACTAGGCTGCCTCCTCAAACCTCCTCAGAAATTGAGAGTTGTTGTGGCATCGAGCCCAGTCTTAACTAGTAGTTTACATTACGCCATTGAAGGCAATGCATAATTGTGTGTCACGAATGCCGCGAGTGCAGAATGACTAAATCGTGCAGACCGAACACGTCGTAGTATAGGAGCCAGAGATGAAAAATTTGCTGACGACTGTCGTACCAGGTACGATCTTGAGGTGCATGCACAAACGTGACTTCTCGTTTAAACAGGATGGTACCGTATGTTACGGTATGCTAAACGGATAGATTTTACACATATATTGGACAATTAGATCTGGCTGTTCTGAGTGTTCACTTACTAAAAAGAAAAGTGAGTCAATCTAATTAAAAGGGAGCGGGGATCTACCAACTCCCTCTTCTATGTAGGGTAAAACATGTTCACTGATCTCGTCCCGCTATCCCGCGTCCCGCTTTCCCGCGTCCCACCCAGTTCTGCGCGGAACAGAGCCCAACCTTGGGCTCAAAATGGTTTTCTAAACAACGACAACTCTCTGTAACGAAGGCTCTGTATACTTTACGTCCAGCCTTGCCGGTACTTTAAGTCCCAACCAGTCATCCAAACACTAGTGTCCAGTCCTTCCTGACAATGGACTGCACGTCCCAATCCCGTCCCCTTGGAGTCACGCGGCCCACACACGCTGCAACCAGCAGCGCCTCGCCTCCCGCTGCACTTGCTGCTCCACCCGACGCCTCCTCCACAGCCTCAACTTGTGACCATTTAGACCACTGCAATGGCAAGCGCAACGTCTACAAGTTTGGCGGCACGTCTCTAGGTCGTCCTACACGGTTTCGCGGTCTCATTGACGTCGTGCGTAAAGAACGAGCGCGTGTTTTGGCGCTGGTCGTGTCTGCAATAGGTCCCACGACCGAGTGGTTGCTCCGAGCTGTGGCGTTTGCAGCTACAGGCGATGCCCCCGAAGCTCTGGACGTCGTGGACCAGTTGCAAGCTGAGATACTCGCAATTGCGAACAACACGCTGAGAGAGCTGCAGGTTGATCCAGTGGACGACTTGAAGGCGTCGGTTGTCAACTCGTGGACGCCATTGCGGGAGCTGCTGGTTGGCATGAGCTTGTTGCAGGAGCAGACAGTAGCAGCGACGGATACAGTGCTGTCGTTTGGCGAACGACTGAGTGCTGAGATCATTGCCAGGATCTTGACGAAAGCTGGTGTCGATACATTTTACGTGGATGCAAGGGAATGGCTGCTGACCGACGACGCTCATGGCAGTGCCAACGTCCTATTCAACGAGTCCAAGGCGAAGCTGCTTGAGCAGAGTAAACGATGGAAATCTGATGCACTGCCTGTGATCACGGGCTCCATCGGCTGCACGCAAAAAGGACGTACGACGACGCTAGGACGGAACGGAGCTGATTACACGGCCACGCTCGTTGGTGCAGTGCTCAGTGCAGATTACGTGGTAATCCACACGGACATTGCGGGTGTCATGACTGCAGATCCAAGCATTGTGGACCGTGCAGTACCGCTGTCGCATATGAACCACTACGAAGCACTGGAACTTGCAGTCTATGGCACGCGGATGTTCCACGCCCGCATGATGGTGCCGCTGATCAAGAGCGACGTGACGATGTTCATTCGCAACATGATGGACCCCAGCGGCCGTGGTACCTACATTAGTGCGGCTGGCCGCACAGGTACACACGAGACGTGTACCACGTCATTGGAGCATCTCGCGACCATCGAGGCTCGTACTCGCATTTTGCAAGACGGGAGCAGCCGACACGAGAACATTGGTGCCCGTGTGACCAAGGTGCTGGAGGCGCTTAAGATTCCCGTGTGGCTGTCCATTCGTGGTGCACATGGACAAGCTATTAGTGTGGTAGTGCCTGTGGAGAAGGAGTCACAAGCTTGTGCAGCTATTAATGCCGAGCTAAGTGCTGAGATCGTGTCTCACGAGGTCGATTCCGTGAACTCGGAGTCCCCGGTGACGATGCTGTCTGTTGTAGCAGAGGACCTTTCTAAGGTGCCGAACCATCGGGCGAACTTTTTTGGATCTCTAGCTGACGCTGGTATCGAAGTGTTGGCTATCGGTCAAGGCACGAGCTCCCGTTCCTTAAGTTGTGTCGTTCGTGGTATTGACACAAAGGTGGCCGTGCGTCGCGTGCACGATGCTTTCAATGTGGACTATCTCGTTACGAACATTGTGCTGTTGGGCTGTAACCATATTGCATTGGACGTTGTCCGTCAACTTCAGAAGCAGCAGGAGCTGTATCGCTCTCAGCACAAGGTACGCGTGAACATCGTTGGGTTCAACTCCAACTGCTACGACTTTGTTTATGATCCCAAAGGATTTGGATATGAAGAACTTGTCTCGCGCTTGGAAGACTCCAAAAGCAAGAATGCCATGATATCCGTGTCATCCACGAGTGAGTCGATGTTGTACGCTGGTGCTCCATCGCTCGAGCAACTGAACCAGCTGCAGGAGTTGTCGATCCCGATTGTGCTCGACTGTTCCGGCCAGAGTAATACACAAGGCCTGTATTCAGCCTGCATCGATCGCGGCATTCACATTGTCACATCCAACGCACGCTCAGTGTGTCGCCTTCCTTCTACTCCGTCGCGTGAGAGTGTTGCCGTTACCACTCGGACCAAGGCCGGTCGTGCGTTCTTCATGTACACGTCTACGATCGGCGCAAGTTTACCTATCATCGACACCCTTGGCAACATCTTACGAACGGGTGACCGCATACTTGGTATTGACGCTTCTTTGAGCGGATCCATGAACTTTGTTGCGAACGAAGTAATGAAAGGCAAGAAGCTCTCGGAAGCTGTTGGGGAGGTGCTTTGCAGAGGCTACTGCGAGCGTGACCCGCGTGAGGATTTTACTGGTACGGACATGGCTGCAAAAGTTGTAGTGCTGGCTCGTGCTCTCGGTGTGCACATACACGCGAGGGAAGTTCGGGTGGAGCCGTTCATTCCACATAGCGTGCTTAGCACCATCGCGTGGTCTCTCGACGTGGATGTGGGCGACATCGTCACTGGACTTGAGGCGTACGACGAGGAATTCCGAAAGAAGTTCTACTTGCCAGCTGTATCGGAGGGCAAACGTCTTCACTACGTTGCCTCGATCGACTTGGCTGAATTCCCATCGATCCGAGCCACGATCCGGCCTCTGCTTGTCAGCGAAGCTCACCCAGTGTTTTACACCAAGGACAATGAAATCGCTTTTGGTGTCTCCTCCATGCAGTACCCGAATCCACTAGTTCTCAAGGGCTCCGGGACGGGTGCTTCCGCTAGTGCTACTGGCGTCCTCCGTGACGTCCTCACCATTCTCCATTCGCTCAGTGGAAAGAATGTCTATGTTTGATTGACGACTGCAGTGGAGTGCAGTACAACTGCAGGTCCCTGGCTGATAGATACATCGTGGGTACTTGTCAACGACCCGGTTCACATTTCTGGTTACGCTCGGTGCCAATGGCTGTCGTGTTCCATTCCATTTGCAAGCTCTCCACTAAACTTGCCTCTGCCAACCCACGAAGCATTGCAGCATTCCGGTCGACTTGTCCATCCCGCCAATGAGTTGATTGTTTTATGCGTGTTGTATTGTTGTGGACGCGTTATCGCTAGGTTTTCAGTGACTTCGGCGTTTGTAAAGGTTGCCCAGTGCTAACAAGCTGCGTGGACTATTCCGAGTGAAGCGTTTTTCTGTCATTGTTGCGAACGTCTTACCTCCAGCAAAAGCAGGAGCGACCGAAAGTGACGTATGTGAGCAGGTGTAACTTTGCGTCTCTGGATAGTCAGAGTCGCTGCGGGTTCTGATGGAAAAGACAATTGAAGTAAGGAAGACCACTGGGTCAAGAGAGACGTCCTACAGGAAGCAGGTTAGCAAATAGAGCAGCTTGTAGTGTTACAACAGGGACACTCGCTCGTACTAGAAGAGTTCCCGCCACTTGTAGTGCGCAGACCCACATCATGACATTGATGATGCAACAGTAGTATTCTTATGCAGTCTGGTTTTCCAAGCTAGGTTTGTTGTCGCGATTTGTAACGAGAGACCGGTCAGGTCCTCGAGCGTACGATGCTAGCGGAAACTGGTTTCGAAGTGTCCGGCAATATTGATTTAGTAGCAAACGTGAACAGTGCGTGGCCAAGCGAAAATACACATGGCTGCTTGTGCGGGTGAAGAAACTATCAATCAGGGCATCGAGTTGTGGCATCACAAATGCCATGCGTTTGGTGGTTGGGGACTGAATTGCTGTGTTTGGTAGTCCTAGGCGTGTGATCGTCACTATTAAAAATAACGTAACCCGAAGCTCTGTTTTCATGGATCGACCGACGGCGGCTTGTGATAGACGCAGCAGTGTGGACGAAGCTTGTTGGAAAGTGGTTTATGTGGCTTACATGAGATTGGGATGGTTGAAATGATCACGGTGTGAGAAGGCGTAGGAATACATTTTAAAAATCAGTACATTTGCACTCAAAGGACGAAGTTCGTTTGTTTACACAGGGTTGTCTCCGTAGGTTATAAGCCCAAAAATGCCTGTAGTCCCTGCGCGCAATGAAGATGCGCCTGCGACACCGGGCGAAACGCAATCAGGTCGCCACTGTAACGGGGCACCCTTTGTCTAGGTGCCACGAAACGAGTCGTTTAAGTAAAGGTGAAAAGAGAACTGCATTGAATATAGTTAAGCTATCAATATTACTCTAATCTTTATCTAACTACATTAAACTACGTCGTCGTATGACGACAATCTGCTCACCACTCATTGCGCGCGTCCAGCAGCGATTAGTGGCAATCTATGGTTGATATGTCTTATATCAACCAATCTTTGAGCAGCGCATGATTAGTATCGAAAGAGGATAATATTCCTTCAATATTATCTATCTCGGATAAATTTGGTAGGATATTGTCATGCTAGACAAAATTTCCTATTGACACCGTTTGGTGTCAATATCATGTAACGGGCTAACCCGTTACATCACCCCTCCCTTAACCATCAATCACCCGTTGATTGAATAGGATTGATTGGGACAGGGTGACCACCGTTGGATCACTCTGGGAAAGGGAGCACTTGTTGGTCAAATTCCATTCATTTGCCAATCCAACGCATGGTTTCAAAACCACGCGAGTTGCTACTGCAGCAGCAAGAAAGGCGGCTGCACGCATGCGTGCAACCGAAGGGAGTACTCCTCACGCCTCAGCAACAGGCGGTGCCTGTTGTGAACAGTCCACGTGGTGAGTCACCAGATGGTACAGATACATCCGCTGCGTCTGCAGAGGGTACTGCGAATCGCGATGTAGATGAGCCTAAAATAGAGATCATCTATTCTGGCGAGTTAGATGATGTATCCGACTCGAAGGCGACACCTCACACCTCCGGACCATCCGGGATGAACACTGCAAGAGCCAGGTTGACTAGCGCTGGGGAACGTGGCGGAATCACGTCCGCGATCTTCGGACCGAGCGATTGCTCCGACGAATCTCCGCCTCACGCAAGTCCATCCAACGATAGGACGCGTGGGGATGGTGGTGATGCAACCATGCATCACCACAAGAGAAGAAAATCGAGGAATCGGATGCCACTGGTGCCAGTGCTCATGCTGGCACCAATCAAGAGACCAGGGACCGAAATGTACTGTGCCACGCTCCCCAAGTGGAGTCTCCGTTCGATGCCGCCATCCAGAGAATTGGACCGGTTGGCCGGCACGACTACCGAACGGGATAGAATCCCGTTGTTCGATTGCAGGAAGATTTGCCCACATGATTCCAGCACGGAAACTATCTGTGCTGAGGAAGAATTTTTCACCGATGCGTTTTTCAAACATCGGTGGTACAATGGTAGCCGTATTCGAGACGGAAAGGCCGTGGTGCAAGGATGGAATGCCCTCATCCAGAACATCGAGTGTATTGGCCGTGAGGCCTGGCTCGCCAAACTTGATGCAGCTCGCATCAGGTTTAAGAAACACAACCCAGACGGGGCGCAATACAAGTTGCACCGACTGTCAAAAGAGGCAGGATTACCCTGTATCTCGTGGGTTGATTCAAGTCAATGCTGTCTGGATAACTCGAACCGTGCCCCTAGGGAGGCCTACCTCCCTAATAATCCCTACTGGAGGGCGCGCATCTCTTCCGAGATAGCCGAAGGGATTGACACCTTGCAATCCCTGTACTCTCGTTCGGGGAGGTCGTCTTCCGATGGCCTTTATTCAAGCGCAGCGGGTGGGTCTTTTCGTACTGCTCGACGAGACCAAGGACATCAACAATCAGCTAGACACGAGGCTCCCAGCTGTCCCACGTCGGTGAATAGCCACGCCAGCCGACGCGGTAACTCGTCCGGACGCCATTCACATCGCAATGGTTTAAAATACGCTCCACCAGGAAGCGTTGACCACTGCTTGAGTCCACCAAAGGATGTGGTGGCGGCGGGAACACCTGATCCGGCCTGAGGGTCGGATCAGCTTGATGTTCAAGAGCTGAACCGTGTAACGGAACAGTTGCAAGGTGACCTGGCTCAAGAACGGACTCGGCTTTATTAGCTTGAGGATCTTGTAAGCGATAGTTGCAATTCCCTAACGTGCGATCGTTCGAACGATCGTGCCGCTTTTGCATTCGCGCAACTTGAGAACAAACGTTCGGACTCGTTCTCTTTGTGACGAGCTGGCTGTAGCTCGTCGAGACATCGCTGAACTGCGTGAACAGGTCGCTTCGCTAGTCGACCAGACTGGTTCGTTGAAACGGGACCACTCGAAGGTGGTCTCGGCTCTCGACCGCGGAGGTGCTCTTCGCATCTCGAAACGGGCTCGTACTAATAGCACGGGCGGAGACTACCGACGTAAAACATAGGATGCGTACGCATCTTACGGGGCACTTCAATCGTGTATGCGTTGCTTATTCGGCGCAGCACACTGATGTAATTGGGCAGTTACGTACTGCTGCTCACGTTTGTCACTGCGTGTTTAGGTAAGTTTACTGTAAACAGTAAAACTAGGTCTCCTTCATCAAATTAAAGAGCATTTTCTCTTCCATGTTTGTCTGCGTTTCGTTTCTGTCTGTCTAGTGCATCTGCTATAGAGTTTTAAACGGAGCGGACAACCGCTTCGCTAGTCAGCAGAAATTCCTCTGCTGGTTCATCCTTGTCAACAGCAGTGCGCTTCGTGTGCACTGCTATAAGAACTTTGACTTCACCAGTGAGGGCGTCATCTTTCTCACCAGGCAGTCATTGGCGATGCTGAATGTACCAGCATCTTCGTCATCATCATCATCAATATCGATCGCATCGACATCGGCATCCATCACGTCGACACCATTGTCGACGGGTGATGAGCAAGAACCAGATCGGTTTTCGTTCGAGCGAGTCCGCCCCCCCTTAAACTAGAGTCACACTCTAAGAAGGCGGGTAAACGTTGATGGCGTAGGCCATTCACGAAGAACGGTGTATGCGCTGTTGACGCATGCACCGAGTTGTTGATGGCGAATTCCGCCATCGGCAAGGACTCACTCCAAATCGTAAGCGAGTGGATATACCCTAGAAGTATCTCTTCGAGGACGCGGTTGACGCTTTCCATCCGACCATCTGTTTCGGGATGGTCAGAAGTTGACATCGTCAAACGTGTTTAAAGTGAACGGAACGCGGATTGTCAGAACTCCGCTGTGAAGCGGGGGTCCCAATCAGACACGAGTTCACGGGGTAACCCGTAAATTCGGAAGATAGTATCGATGAAGACACGCGCACAGCCCTGGGCTGTGATTGACTCCGGTACAGCAACAAGATGTACCCTTTGCTAAACCTTCCAACAAACACAAGAATAACAGTATTATTGTGAGCGTCTTTGGGAAACCCAAAGACTAAGTCCATCGATACGGACTACCAACACTCTGCCGGAATCGAAAGAGGCTGCAAGGGTGCACGGGATGAAGGACTAGGCTTCACCCGTTGACACCTCCGCAAGCGCAAATGTATATGCGCACAAACTCATACTGTCGAGGCCAGTAGAAGTCACGACTCACCATGAGGTAAGTCTTTTCCCAACCGCGATGCCCACTTGTTGGGGCATCGTGACACTCAAACATGATGCGCAATCGCAAATCATCATGAACGGGAACGACGACACGAGGTGTGTCGCCGTTGACTGCTGTATAGTACAGCAGTCCATCACGAACAGAATACCGTTCGGTTGAAGAGCGGTATTAAGACTACAAGATTTCCAAAGCTTGACTGCATGGATTGGCTACATTATCCATAAATCGCAGAAGATACTCATCTTCTGCGTATTCTTTTCGCACGTCGTCGAGCAGATTCGACGACGGAACACTCACTGTTAGTGTTGTGGTGAAGTGGTCAAAAGAAATCCTGACCAATCGCCTTGGTCACCTCGTAAGTGCGTGTGGGACCGATCATGACGGCCTTACGACTTTCCGCTACAGAAATCCTCAGCGATAAGCTGGACGGTTTGCAAGTCATCAGTGGCGGTCACAGATTATGACCACCGGTCAGGGTCACGACGAATGACTGACCGGTCATGGTCACTCTGGGCGACCAGTGGTCATAATCATGATGAGTGACCAGTGGTCACGGTCATAATGGGTTGCCAGTAGTCATGGTCACGATGGGTGACCAGTGGTCATGGTCACGATGGGTGACCGGTGGTCATGGTCACGATGGGTGACCGGTGGTCATGGTCACGATGGGTGACCAGTGTTCACGGCCACGATGGGTGACCAGTGTTCACGGTCACGATGGGTGACCAGTGTTCACGGTCACGATGGGTGAATAGTGGTCATGGTCACTGCAAGATGACCTGCGGTCATGCTGGCAGTTAAGGTGGTTTATTTCAAGCACAGGGAATGGGTGTTGGCAGGCGAACAACGTAACAGAAAACTGAGATAAAGAGAAGTGTAAACGAAGTTCTAGCCCCTAACAGGTTAATAACGAACAGTATTGATTTCCTACAAAAGACACGCGTCAGCATTCCTCCGGGCTGGAATACTAGTGGCCACCCGACGTACAAGGTTTACTGTCTGCGTGTTTACTCAAGGTTTGTCCCTAGATTGCTTGGCTGGGGACAAGTATAACTCATCCAAGTTAGCCCGCGATTGGACGCGGCAAGCACACAAGGCTAGGTCTTCAAACGGCTCAAGAGGTCAGAAGAACAAGGGGGATCAAGTATCCACATTTGGGCAAGGCGACCTCAAGGAAGGTCAGGCAACTCAAGGAGAGTGCCACCAGTAACCGTTGGTCGTGTGAAGAATTACCACGCGACCACACCCCACCTATCCTCAACTCGGTCAAGACAAGACATCGACCTCAAGACACCTAGAAGAGTGCAACCGCCCGCCGACGGGTACACAAGGTGAGAAGGAACAAGACAAGACACACGGTCCGGAGTACCCCCTCCGTTAGTCGGTCGTCCGGGCGCAAGTGGGGAGTCAGGATCGCTACGTAAATGAGCAAATCTCACTCCACCACAGTGGTGGGCGTGGCCGGATCTTCTGGTGCCTCGGGATTTTACCATGAGTTCCAGAGCAAAGATGTCGAGGTCAAGATTAAACCGGGGATGGAAGTGTCGGCGAAGAAGGGATCTTCGCAGACACGTGATTATAAAGGAACCTCGGTTTGGCAGAGTTTTAAAAGGGGCTCGAACGAATCGAAATCAAAGAGGAAGATCGCCAAAATGATCTCGAAGAAGAAAAACCTCTTTTCCCTCCTGAGGTTCCTTCGGGGACCACCGCGGATCGTACTGCGAAGTACGACCCGCTAGATGAAACACGTTCAGCCAAAGCAGGACCCGTTTCGTCAAAAGACAAAACCATACACAAAGAAAAAGATAAAAATCGAAGGCTACGGCTCCCAAGCTACGCGCGCCTGACTCCGAGAGAGATGATCGAGAAATAAGCAGGGCAGCAGAGGTCAAGATGGAAGGTTGGAAAATTGATCAGCTGCAACGTCGTTCGCACTGGACCCAGCTTTAAGCGTTGCTATGTACGGACCAAGTGCTGACCATCTTGGAAGCGGAGCTGATCGTACCGCTTCGGGGACCGACATCGACTCCACAAGCAGCCACTAGCGAAATGGAAGCAGTGCAACGTCTCGTTCAACTGCTACAAGGCGCAAGATTTGTGCTGGGGGCGTTTCACGCGCAGGTTCTGCTTGACTGCGACCTGGATCAAGTGATCACGGCCAGCCGATCACTGATCAAAGCGCGGTTCCACTGACCGGCAACTATGACTCCGCTGACCACGAGCTCACGACCAGTATCCTGGTCAAACAGGAAGAATGTTTACGAGCGGCGTCGTCACATTACGCTTCGGCGATGTCGATTGCGGACGATAGCGACAACTCGGAAATAAAGCAAATGTCGTTAGGACCTTCCGGTGCATCACTTTAACGTGACCACCACGAGCACCCGACTCCGACCACCGGACCGTTAAGACTAACCACAGAGCTAGTAGATGCTACGAATGACCCCGACCAGATGCAAATCTACTTTGCAAAGGCCATGGAAAAGTTCATGCGAGACCAACAGCGACGGCCGCCACATTCTGAGCCGACCAGTCACCCCAATTCCAACCGCAAGGTGTTCGGGGTAGGTATGCCAGACACGGACATGGAATCGGCTGACTAGCATGGTGGTCACGGCAACACCTATGACCCTGACGACCTCGACATTGACGGCGTCCGTCGACCTCACTTGGCTACAACGGAAGCTATCATAAAAGAAGAATTTGTTGCGCAGCGGATTCGCATGTCTGCGATCGCCGATCTAAAGGAGTTTTCAAGTCGCGATCAGGATGATGACCGCGCTCGAAGCTGGGTGCGAAAGGTCAAATTAGCTTTCCTGCGTGACCAATCCCCCGATTCGGAGAAATGTTTGGTTTCTGGAGATTGTCTAACCGGCCCCGCATGAAACTGGTACTTCCATCTAAGCCGATCGACACGCAATAAGTGGGAAGACTTGCTGGAAATTTGCTAACCACAATCCTGTGGACGCGGCATCTCTGATGGTCGCCAGTATTATCACGCCTGCAAGCGTGCCATTGAAATTCCGCTAGAATACCTCTAATGATTAAAGATGCTGGGATGCGAGCGAAAATCTACGTGAAGGACGGAAACGTCGCTGATCGCCGAGAACACATTGAACACTATATCGAGACACTGGATGACCGCGATTTCGCAAAGCAATTGACCTTGCCGCGTTTGGACGACGTGGAAACGCTGGAGTTAACGCTGCACACGTACGAACGTATGCAAAAGCGCAAAGGCAATCTCCCGATCAGTTCAGGCAAGTTTCTCTCACTATCAGCGTCGCCATGCTCTCCGAGTTCATCCGAACCGGCTCGAGCTGTGCGTGCAATCCACGTGGGGGCGAAAGCAGTTCGTCGGAATCAGATATAAGCAGTGGGGAATCAGACGAAGAACAACGACGTGTTTACAGCGCCACATCAGCCGACCATACGAAGGACCGGGGAACTGATCGTCCGACCAAGCCACTCCGAATATCCGTAAACGAGATCACGATAGTGCAGAAGGGCACAAGTCGTGCACTCATTGTGGGTCCAAAAGACATGATGACAGGGGATGCTGGAAACGCTTGACTTGTCAGAAATGCGGGCGCCGAGGTCACCCTTCCGATAAGTGTTTCTACGGATGCGCAGCGCGTAGAGAAGTGCACGACGGGGGCAACTGCCTGATGGAAAAGTTTTACAATATGCTTCGCAAGTGGTACGTGCCGACCAAACACGCCGGAATGCTTCCTCCCGACGCAGAGAAGATGTTAAACTTGGACGCGCGCCAGGTTGGAACTTGGTATAAGCCGAGCGTTCTAGGCTATGCACATACGCATTTATTGAGAAAGGAGGGGTTGATAACAGTGTTAATCGACTAACCGACCGGACGTTTAGTACTTGTGATTTGGAATCTAGTTCTTTTCCATCAATTGCAACTTTGCGGCGACCGGATTAATACGCAAGATCACCTACAAAGATGGAACTTAAGTTGTCTCCTGGCGAATCACGTAGTTACTGGAAGCACCATACTCCAAACAAGGGTTCAGGAAAGCCAAGGCGGGAGGAAAAATTAACAAAAAGAATGCCACCCTGTTGTTTGACTCGGGAGCTGAAGTCTAAATCATCGACACAACCTTTGCTCGTAAGGTTGGCTGTGTCATAGATGAGAGTCAAAAGCAAGAATGCGTGGGTACCGGAGAAAATTTAAACATGACAGAAAGCCGCACAAAGGTGAAGAACACGCTGAATGGCTCATTGGTTTACTACTTTGATGTATGGGTGGGTGACCAAGTGGGACAAGAAGCAAATCTAGGGATGGAGTTCATGGTACCGGCTGGAATGCGCCTTGACATGGCAGACGGAACAGTGTGCTTGCCGGACGAAGCCAGAATTCAACTGGAAGGTGAGAGATCACCAAATGGGGCGAAGATACGACAAATTGCTGCGGATGAGAAGAATTTGGCGATACCGGTGGGTGACTCAGTAGAGGTCAATGTTGGTCGGGGACCACTGCAGTTGAAATTGTAATCAACGCGCCACGCACGTTGGGCACCCACGGCTATGACCGGACTCGGAAGACTTACGTACCTCCGCCTAATAAACTTTACCGATCAAGAGGTGATTCTCCAACAGGGGACGCTGTTCGGGCAATAGATGCCGGCGGGCATGATACCACGGTCACCCAGGCATGGTCAGTAGGGTCACGTCGTTATCAGGAGTGGCAAACACTTGCATACGAAGCTTCTGCAGATAGAGATGAAGAAGAAGAAGTACCGGAAGCAGAAGGACCGTTGGTAGAACTCCAGTCTTAACAAGCACCAACGCAGATTTTAAAACGACCTCCACAGAATATAATTGAGATGAACGCGGGGAGAGAGGAAGCGGAATGGGAAAGCAATGTGGCGACATATGGCCAGGTGGATGACCAAGGGGATATAAAGGACCACAACCAGAACGATCACCAGTAGCTATTGGTGCGATCACCACACGAGATACGGGTTGTAGTTCGGTACATGATCGGCAGGAACAAAAGAATGAACTCCAGAGAGAGTTTCTACGCGATCACCAACGTCCGCCGACTTGGTCAACCCTATTATTGCGATGAATGATACGACGTTGGTGTACGAGCAGTCTGAAATGCACCCACACGAGTTTGAAGAGAAGCTCACTACCGAATCGATCAAGGATATGATACCTGATCGTATGCAAAACAAGTCCCCTGATTCCCCAGATGGAATTACTGTTGGGGATGGGGAGGTGAATCAACCGCCCGACCATCTGGGAGACCGAGAAGCAGCGGTCACCGGCGAAGGAGAACAGGAGTGCAAGTCATACCAACACGCAGGTGAAACATTATTCGCGGAAGATGTTGGTCAACACATGGCAGTCTTACTGGACGTGGACATGACGCTATGCGAGGTCAAGATTGAGGATATACAGGTGATCGAACCAGGGGTTCCATTGACGAAAAAGCAAGAAGAATTACGCCAGCTGATCTGGAAGAAAGACATCTGTTGATGGGCAAGGGAAACGCCCACACCTGCGGCTCGAAGCGCGATATGTGACATAGATGTGAGAGGTACGACCCCAATAGCACAACGAGTGAGGCCTGTCGCCCTTAAGTTCCGTGAAAAGTTGGCGGACCTGATCAAAGGGTTACTATCGGCGAAGACTATGTCCCTCAACCTCGCCGTGGGCATCGCCGATCGTAGTAATCGTAAAAAAAGAATGGGGCAAATAAACGACTATGTTTAGATTACCGACGAGTCAACCAATTGACGAGGCTGATGCATATACCGTGCCCTTGATCAACGACCTACTGCAGGACCTGGACAAAGCGCTATGGTACTGTTCATTGGATACGGCCAGCGGATTCTGGGTTGTGGAAATGGAGGAGCGAGCACGGATGATTTCTGCGTTTGTTACGCCTTCAGGTCTGTATAAATGGCTACGTATGCCGTTCGGCTTAAAACATGCGCCGTAGATATACCAGCGTATGGTGGATAATGCATTGTACGGGTATCTCACGATCGGCGAACAGCGGAGATCAAGTGGTCGCGAGGTGTCACAACCGGTCGACGTGTTCACGCACGGCGAGCCGGACCCGCACCGAAATTCTTCAGTGTTGTAGCGGAGGTCCTATATTGATGACATTCTGATCCCGGCGTCGTCCTGGAAGTCCCTCCATCAAAAGGTAAACAGACTGTTGGAAGTCTATGATCAGTGGAATTTGTCGATCGGTTTACTCAAACTTGTGTGGGGACGACGCAAGCTTGAGTATCTCGGGCATAAGGTGTCGATATCAGGAATATAAGCCGACCCGAAGGATTTGGGGTCGTTGGTCAATATTCCATTTCCCCAAACATTGCGGTCAATGCATTCTTTTTTGGGAAGCTTGAATTACTACAGCCGGTTCATTGAAGATTTCGCCACATACTCCTCAGTCCTGTATGAATTGAGAGAGGCGGACTTCCACGAGATTAGGCGGTTGGACAAAACGGAGGATGATCATGCAACAAACCAAGACCAGGATGGTGATACCCAGATCGACGATGACCATGGCAAGAGGCTGGTGAGTAGCTGTGATAAAAAATGACGAAGATGGATGGTCATGACCAATCGAATACAGAAGGGTCTAATGGCGAACATACAATCGGTCATCCTTGGGAAAAAGCTATGATCGCGTTCAAAATGCTGAAAGCAAAAGTTGCCCAGACCCCGGTGCTTAGACATTTGACCCTGATCTTCGGCCAGTGATGGTGGTTTATGCCATCAAATGGACGGTATCCGCAGCTTTGTTTCAACTCGATGGAGTGAATTGGCCTGTTATGTTTAAAAGTCGCACGCCAAAACCGAATGCAATCAACTACGGTGTGGTGAAAAAAGAAGTCCTGGCCCTGCTCCGGATATTAGATGTTTGTTATACACTACTAGTATCGCGGGACCGTAAGGTGCTCACACGGTAAACAACTCTGGCGTGGTTGATGCAATCATCGGGCCTTAACGGGAGACTTGGAATATGGGCATCTTTACTACCAACCTAGACTCTGGAGATAAACCGATGCAACAAAGGGGAGGACGAAATTCTTGGCACTCTTGCCGCAAACATCACAACACGGGAGGATGTAGATGATATGCTGATCGCGATCTCGCCCCGGAAGCAACCAAGACAGATTATCAGGATGCCGCCCCCTACGGCCCGCCGCGAAGAATCGCTTCTTGTCGTCAGCTTTGATGGAGCAGCCCGTAATAAGAATAAAGGGGGCGTCTACAGTGCGATAATACGGAAGCTTCCCGAGTGGACTATAACATCGGCTGCGTCGCGATTCGACACTGGGCTGACCGTAAACGAGACAGAGTACCATGGGTTGCTGCTGAGTTGCGAGTTGCTGGCCAAGCAGACAAGGGGAAGAGTGGTCATTTGTGGGGATTCCAACCTGGTCATCAGGCAGATGAGGGGTTAAATTGACTGCAAGGCACCGAAACTGAAGTTACTACGTCTCAAGGCCCTATATCAACTGCGATCATGGCCGACTCATGAAATCTTACATATTAAGCGCGATTGGAATCAAAGTGCCGATAGGCTGGCTAGCTCCGCTTTACAGCTGGATTTAGGCATGGTCAGACTAACGGAGCAGGATTGCCATTATTTACAAGCGATGAACCGAATGGACGAGATGTTAGTACCAGCGACCAACAATCAAGTGGCCAGAATAACGGTGATCACACGATCAGCCATACGGAGGCGTGAAGTGCCCACTATTATGCAAGAGGAAATAATACAGCAGATGCGACTGGAGCGCATAAAGAAAGCACAAGATGAAGAAAGTTGGATCGCCAACCTCAAACTTTGCCTAGTCGGGGATGTTACCGAATTGGATACTACGGAAGCAAAAGCAACTGCGGTTATTGCCCCATATTACGTGGTGGATGAAGGTGGATTGTTACATTTTTGCCCACGGGCGGCAGCAAACCCCAGTGACCGCGCGGATCTCGCCCGTTCGATGGTTCCAGAATTACTGCAAGATGATGTCCTACACCACTACCATGCAAGTCTGAAAGGTAGTCACCATGGGGTAGACCGAACGTATCACCGCGTGCAATCGAACTTTCATTGGAGAGGCTTATTTAGAAGCGTGCAGCAGTATGTTAGGAAGTACGTCGACTGCGAAACCGGAAAAGGATGTCCGATCCTACGAGGCGAATCCCAGGGAATTTATAGGCCACGTACCCGTTCCAGATCATTTCAATGGATCATATCCCCTCGTTACCAAAGTCATTCAAAGGGAAAACCGAACTGTTGCTTTGAAATGTATTTGTTTTCTGGCTACGTGATCGCTAAAGCTAGCTCGTCAAGAACGGACAAGACGATCGCGGAAGGGTATGAAGAATGTTTCTTCCGGCGGTTTGGGGCAAGTGAATCTATTCTTCACGACCTCGAACCCGGATTCATGTCGGATTTCTTTCGCTCGTTCAACCGCATCGCTGGTCAGAAACAATGTACCACAATGGCGTATCGGCCTCAAGCCATTGGTACAGCTGAACGTATGGTCCAAACATCGACCAGGGCGCTAAGAATGTTTGTCATGGATCTGAACTAACAAGATTGGGACGAATACGCTAAACGCCTGAATTTTGCCATCAATACGGCCCATGACCGAGTACGAGGTGATACCCCGTTCTATCTTATCCATAGTTGGGACCCGCGATCAAAACTGGAAGCGACCTTGCCGCTGGGATGTACTAAAAATACGTGATCGGGATCCTCGGAGATGGCGCTATCACATACAGCAGCAATATTAACGGGCCCGCGCTGCGGTGAATGACCGACTGAAGGACGTCATTCAAGACCGAGCTGACCAACACGACCTTGATCAAGGGCCAAATGGAATCATCCGCGATAGCCAAGTGTGGCTATATTTGGATCGAGTGAAGGAGGGATATGCCAGGAGCTGACTCACATGTGGCACGGCCCGTTTCGGGTGATCGAGAAGTGCGGGGAACATGCAGTGCGGTTGGAGGTACAAGGGACCCCATACCTGTTATTCCTACTCGATCACGTATCCAAGCTGAAGCTAGTACGGATTTTCTCTGATCTACCTGCTGCACGCTGGAGGTGGAAGAAGCAGAGTGTGTTGATTTTGACGAAGCTCTGCTTCCAAAGGACAGCTGGGAAAACGATCTAGCCGAAGGATAATACGAGGTGGATAGTATCCGAGATGTGAGGACAGGACGAAAGACTCGGTACGGAAGGGTACACCGACAGTTCTTGGTCCGATGGGAGGGTCATAAGGATGAGACTTGGGTGGATGAGTCAAACCTTACTTGTGGTGCTTTATTTCAAGAGTTTGAACGTGATCGAGCTAAGCGAAATTGATTCGAAGTGATGCAAGTACATGAGGAACAATACAGATGTTAAAGTGACCATGGACGGTAACCGCGGCCTTGAAGCATACGGACTGTATTGTATGTCAGAGAATGAGGGATGACCACGTGAACCATGAATGTGAAGAAGTGATGTGGTCAACTAACATGGTGATAATACAGTTAAGATGACCAAGCGCGGTGACCGCGGCCACGAAACACTGTGACCGCCTGGTCGGTGAAAGGAGGAGGAATGACTACGAAAGCTATGGATGTAAAGGAGTTGCGTGGTCAACCAAAGCGGTGTACACAGAAGCAAGAGAACATGGTGAACAGACTTCAATAGAAGTAAATTTAATAAGCAGCGACTGGTGGTCATGACTGTGACCATAAACGTCATGGTCTCTACACTGGTGACGACCTTTCACTGCGCTACAAACTTGGTCCGGAGACGGTCGATGGACGTGCCTGGGTGGTAAGCAATGGCTGCCCGATATTATTGCGCCAGGGGTCAGAGGGATCTGCAAGGAGTAAGGCTGAGGCCAGATTCAGGATGTTAGTCTGTCGACAGCCAAACCCTGTATACCACCAACATTTCTCGAACCGTCCTGGAAAATGCAGGAATAAGGGGTCCAATAGGATGTCGAGGTTACACTGACCCCTGACCAACCCCTTTAACACGATCCGGAGTACAGCCTTCCACCGGGGGCTGGACCGGGAACGCCGACGACGCCTTTCTTCATAGAAGACGCTCAATCCAGGGTCTTTCGCGCGACTTGGATCCACGATGATTGTGAGCACACGAGTAGATTTTTATATAACCTTGCGATGATGGGCTTCAAACTCACGATGCGCGGTCATTAAAGCTTGGAACTAGCCAGTCGGGCGGAATGACACAGGCGCAAAAGGCCGATCCAAGACGTCCCAAGGTTTCTAGCTGTACAAAGTAAATCTGGGCGGAGTTCACTAGCCGCGGGGACCACTGAGCTTCAGTTGGCGGACGCAGGGAAACGTTCGGAACGGGGAACAGGTAGTGCTTGGGCCGGGAGTAGTGGTGGAACAAGAGATTTAAGTCCAGGTGACCTAAAGTGACCAAGCTTAAACGATGGGATGACCACGGCGAAAACTGGCCAGGGGCATAGGTTGCACGAGTGCGATAACCAGGTATCCACTTATCGCGCGAGGACCGCACGGGTGGCAAAGCCTTGAAGGCGGTCGGGGAGCTTGTTCACTGGGGTATAATCGTAGCTTCGTAGTCTCACCGACCCATCGGACTCGTCGGACGCCCTGGGTAGCTCTGCTTTCGGAGGTGTCGCAGCGATGGGCGGCGACCGGGAGACGGCCGATGAAGTACGAGTAGCACGTCTTGGCGGAGCCAGACGAGACGCGGATGTATGACTGGCTGGATCGATCTCGATCGGAGTGTCAGCCAACCCATCCGCAGATCTTGTGGTTGAGTCAGAAGACCGCCGTCGAGCGGAAGAATGTGACCGTGACAGTGTAATGAGCATGGCCTCGTTCAAAGATTCTATGGAGCCGTCGCTATCCCGCGCATGAGATGCGGAGGGGGAACGCGCTCGTGTTTGCTTCTGTGACCGCCGAGTCATTACAGACGGTGGCGTGGTCACGGTCTTGGGCTTGAACTATTTTCTGGTCGTACATGCTGAAATCATGAGGATGTCGAGGCGAGGGCGAGACTCCTGCCGGGACTTGGGATGTGCGGATACCGATCGTGAATGGGTAGTTGGTACGGCGAGCCCTGCGACCGTAGAGGAAGGGCTGGCAGACTAATCTGGTCCGACCGCAACGCGAGGATGACTGGGGGAATTTGAAGCGGATCGCTGTTGGGTCACATGGTCTACGGGCGGTACCACGGCAGATGGGGACCTAGAAGCCGAATAGAGGTGACCGTAACGCGCGCACGATTGTTCGGGGGTGGCACAGGATAGGCCGCTGACTGTTCTCTCCGCCACTTGTCATAGGCGATCCCCACCGACGGCGGAAGACCCATAACGAAGTTGACCAAATGGTTGAGCTGGGCCTGGCGGTCGCGAGCAAGTATATCCCGTTCTGCTAGCAACAGTGCTAGTTCCTCGATATGATCAGCATGGGAGGAGCGCAAACGGTGAAGCTCTTGGTAGCTTAAAGCGCGCTTTGTTTTCAATTGGTCAAGCTCCCGACCACGTTGTGCAAATCTGCGAGCAAGCGCATCGAAACCGATCCGTAGTGGAGCAACACGCTGCTCACTTTCCGCTACCGCTATCCGTATGTCTTTACATTCCTTAGCTGACTGTTCAACCTCGGTTGTGTCCACGTCATACACTTGGTCACTACCCACGTCAGAATCGGTAGAAGAGGCATCGTCCGCCGGGGCGTCATCAGATCCGACCAAAAAGCCAACAGGGTCGGCAAGGTGGTCAGCCGGAGCGGGGCTGGCTTGGTCAGGCTCGGCAGTGTCCAAGTTACGCACTAGGTAGCTACCCACGTCAGCATCGGCAGGATCAGCATCGGCAGAAGAAGCATCGTCCGCCGGGGCGTCATCAGATCCGACCAAAAAGCCAACAGGGTCGGCAATGTGGTCAGCTGAAGCGGAGCTGGCTTGGTCAGGCTCGGCAGTGTCCAAGTTACGCACTGGGTCGCTACCCACGTCAGCATCGGCAGGATCAGTATCCGCAGAATAAACATCGTCCGCCGGGGCGTCATTAGATCCGACCGAAAAGCCAGCAGGGTCGGCAATGTGGTCAGCCGGAGCTGGGACGGCTTGTTCAGGCTCGGCAGCGTCTGGTTCAAGGCCAGTGTAATCTTTGTCATCAGGAGCAGGAGTGGCCGACCGCAGCGGAGTCATCTGAGGAGAAGTCGAACCAGAAGGCAGGGGTTGTTTCGCGGCAGGGTAAGATGGAGGGTACATTTCCAGCAATGATCACGGGAAGGCAGATCAAAAAGTGCTTAGCCAGATCGGCACCGGCTGCCGACTAACAGAGCAGGGACGAATGTGGTGAAGTGGTCAAAAGAAATCCTGACCAATCGCCTTGATCACCTCGTAAGTGCGTGTGGGACCGGTCATGACGGCCTTAGGACGCTACAGAAATCCTCAACGATAAGCTGGACGGTTTGCAAGTCATCAGTGGCGGTCACAGATTATGACCACCGGTTAGGGTCACGACGAATGACTGACCGGTCATGGTCACTCTGGGCGACCAGTGGTCATAATCATGATGAGTGACCAGTGGTCACGGTCATAATGGGTTGCCAGTAGTCATGGTCACGATGGGTGACCAGTGGTCATGGTCACGATGGGTGACCGGAGGTCATGGTCACGATGGGTGACCGGTGGTCATGGTCACGATGGGTGACCAGTGTTCACGGTCACGATGGGTGACCAGTGTTCACGGTCACGATGGGTGACCAGTGGTCATGGTCATGATGGGTGACCAGTGTTCACGGTCACGATGGGTGACCAGTGTTCACGGTCACAATGGGTGACCAGTGGTCATGGTCATGATGGGTGACCAGTGTTCACGGTCACGATGGGTGAATAGTGGGCATGGTCACTGCAAGATGACCTGCGGTCATGCTGGCAGTTAAGGTGGTTTATTTCAAGCACAGGGAATGGGTGTTGGCAGGCGAACAACGTAACAGAAAACTGAGATAAAGAGAAGTGTAAACGAAGTTCTAGCCCCTAACAGGTTAATAACGAACAGTATTGATTTCCTACAAAAGACACGCGTCAGCATTCCTCCGGGCTGGAATACTAGTGGCCACCCGACGTACAAGGTTTACTGTCTGCGTGTTTACTCAAGGTTTGTCCCTAGATTGCTTGGCTGGGGACAAGTATAATCATCCAAGTTATCCCGCGATTGGACGCGGCAAGCACACAAGGCTAGGTCTTCAAACGGCTCAAGAGGTCAGAAGAACAAGGGGGATCAAGTATCCACATTTGGGCAAGGCGACCTCAAGGAAGGTCAGGCAACTCAAGGAGAGTGCCACCAGTAACCGTTGGTCGTGTGAAGAATTACCACGCGACCACACCCCACCTATCCTCAACTCGGTCAAGACAAGACATCGACCTCAAGACACCTAGAAGAGTGCAACCTCCCGCCGACGGGTACACAATGTGAGAAGGAACAAGACAAGACACACGGTCCGGAGTACCCCCTCCGTTAGTCGGTCGTCCGGGCGCAAGTGGGAAGTCAGGATCGCTACGTAAATGAGCGAATCTCACTCCACCACAGTGTCGCTACAGTAGGATCACCCCCACCGTTGGGTTGAGCAGTCGGCTCGAAATCGGGCCGACGCGAAAGAGCATCAGCTAATACATTAATTTGTCTTAGTTTATACCCGACGGAGAAGTTGTACTTCGCGAAGAAAGACAGCCACCTCGCCATTCGTTGAGAGACGTGTGGACTGTTTACGGCCGTGCGTAACGACGCATGGTTGGTATAAACGATGAAGGGCCTATCTCCTAAGAGATATACCATAAACTTTGCCAGTGCATATTTTATGGCGAAGGGTTCCTTGTCATACACCGGATAATTACGCTCAGCTTCTTGCAGCTGACGCGATTGATAACAGATGAAGCGCTCAACGCCGTATGAGTCGTACTGTATTAACGCGCAGCCGATTGCAAAATCGCGGGCGTCACAGACCACATGAAATGGTATATCCTGGTCAGCAATCGCCAACACAGGCGATTGCACTAAGCTTTTCTTGATGCCTTCAAACGAGTGCTGACATTCAGCGCTCCATGACCACCTATCATTTTTATTTAGTAGACAAGAGAGATGCACGGTCATCTCGGCATAGTTGCGCGAGTATTTGTGCAAGTACGCCGCCAAGCCAAGGACCTTTCGAAGTCCCTTCACGTCGACTAAATGCAGTCGCTCACCGCCTCAATCTTTTCCGGATCAGGGCGTACACCGTTTTTACCCACGGTGCAGCCAAAAAGCGGTATTTTGTTCGCTGCGAATATACATTTCTTGAGGCTCGCGAACAACTTATGCTCTCGCATTGGTGTAAGAACCTTCTGGACGTGAATTCTATGAACCTCCACGTCCTCCTTTCCATCCGTAGCCCGGCTATGGACGAAGACATCTTCAAAGTAACTCGGTGCAAAATCGCGCACCGATTGCAACAGATTTGTAACACATCTGTTAAATGTTGCGGGGGCGTTACTTAACCCGTGTGGCATCACTGGCCATTCCCAGAGCATACCACCGGAGGTTCTCACTGCTGTGTAAAGGATATCCCGTTCACGCATGAGGATCTGATAGAATACATATATCAAACACATGGACAAAAAGGTGGTACTCTTTGCCATACCATCTACGATGACGTCCTTTCTTGGGATCGCTGTTTGAGCCGGTATCGTTACAGCGTTCATTTTGTTGAACTTGTGCACTATCCACCACCCTCCTGTGGCCTTTCGCACACAGAAGATCGGAGAGCTGTGTGGGGATGTTGATTCCCTCACATGACCAGCCGCTAAATGATCGGCAAAGAATTTGTCGATTGCTGTGACCTGTTCGCGAGGCAGTGACCACTGCTTCATGACACAGTATTTTAAACCAGGTTGTAGTCAATCTCATGCCGAGTGCCTTTGTCCTTGGGCAGCTCGTATGGCACGGATTCGGGAAAACATCCCTGAACTCAATTAAATCCTCGTACAAAGGATTTGTCTTTAAAGACTCCCAAGATTGAGACGTGTATCGCTCAATCCGAGTCTTCTCATCGAGGGCAATCTCGTCCATAGATAGCTACTAGGGATCCCGTTCGTTCTCAGCAAACTCTTGAGCCGACCGAATATCGGCGACGTACTCGTCCTCTGTGACAAGTACGCAGATCTGCTTGATCTTGTCACTAAGCACATCTCGCAAGAATCTTTTAGATTCTAGCGTTGACAAATTGATCACCTCCGAAGCTAACTTCGGAGGTGTAACCAGATCAAGTGTATAAGCGCCTACACTTGATACGTCATTCACTAAGACATTCACTGTCTCGGTGATTTCCTATGAAAACACATCCGCAAGTGGTTGGGGATCCACACCCTCAACATAACTCTCTCTGGAGTTGTTGCTTTCAGGAACGCCAGAATTTTCTATCGTTACGTGTACTATCACGGTCGCGTCCTCTTCGATAAACTCTCTTTCAGTCCAGCGGGCTTGCTCTACAATCGACTCTCTGATAGACGATCTCGCTTTAACGTGTTGTTCATCCTGAACAACACTAATCTCTCTTCTTGGATGCACCCTTCTTGGTGTGCATCTGTGTTCTCAGTCCACTCGATCTCTTCGAGTGGTATACTTTCGGCGCAGCCTGTGTCTCTACACAGGTGCCGAAGCTGGTTCCACAGTGTAGTGGCCTTCTACACTGTGATCTCGTGTAATCGTACAAACGACCGTACCACAAGTGATGCCATCGCACTCACTCATAGTACATCCACACGCTTGTGGACGCTCCAAGACCTCTATCAGATGTCCATCCGATGAACAAACGGCATGCATCTTCACGGATCGATGCTTCCAGCTAACCCATGGCTGGTATTTTTTAAGCCATGGCAGACCGAGGATGAAATTAAATTTGTCATCCAAATCTAGTACGATGAAGTCATCATCGTATTACTTTTTTTCCTTCTAGCGTGTAGTGGATTCCCATTACACGTTTGTACACTGTCACGGATGCGCCTTTAGCAAGGCACACCGTCATCCTCGTTGGAGAGAACTCTCGCTCAACATGGTTGAGCCTACTATCTTGTAGCAACTGGCGTCGAATACAACTGTTCGACGCCCCACAGTCAACTAGGGAGCGAAGTGACATTCCAGTCGTCACTTCGATCTTCAAAATGATGAGGGAATCCTCATCACTAGGCGCAGTAACACACCGCGACTGTGTGTTGGAGGCAGTCTTCGTCAAGCGTCCTGCAAACTCTTGACGTTGCTGGATCAGAAGGAAGCTCCGCGCCTACTGACCCTTTCCGTTTTTTGGCGGTCCGACTTGCTGTCGCAGTTTAGCGACATGGTTGGACCCGCGCCTTGGACCTTTACTTGGCCAACGGTGGTCATCACGTCCTGTCTTCGGACGTGATGCGGTCTTGCGACACTACACTCATGAGCGTAGTGTCGGATCTTCTGACAGCGATGGCATCTTGCCGTTCGCTTGTGACTCATAGAGCGAGAGTTGTCGCTCTCGATGTAACAGAGGTCCATTAATTCGAAACCTCCTGTTTTCTGTTGTCTTTGGACGATAATTTGACGAGCTAGCCTGAGACTGTCTCAGGCTGAAGTCTTCTTGTAACGCATACGCTATCGCTTTTTCCAGCATATGGAAGTCCTCTAGGAACACGTAGGTCTTGACCGGACCATCTACAAGACCGTAGATGAACACGTTGATGAGCGTGTGCTCATCAACAGCGTTTCGTGAAGCTACTCGCAAGGTAGCGTTGATGTTCTGCGTGAGCGTGCACATCGCTCTTACCTTTCTTAAGCCTCAGGAGTGCAGAGCGTGCTCTGGAATCGGCTCGTGGCGGCTCAAAGTTTCTTTGAGTCGATACGTTTAAGTTTCTAACGACTCAACACGTTTGGGTCGTGAAGCTTGATCCCTAAGGCCCAAGTATTTGCTCGTCCGGTCAAATTGGACAGGGAGAAGGTGACTTGCATCTAGTCACTTTCGATGTGACTGGCCCTGATGGCGTCGCCTAACTTGACGAACCATCTCAAAAGGGAATCTTCATCGGTTCCCTTGTACCTTGAGATGTCTATATTCAAGGTTTCGGGTCGACGCATGTGCGTCGGCCCGCCCATCGATTGATGAGAGCCTTGCTGCTGTATCAAGGCTATCTTTTGTCGTTTG